AGCCATATGAAGATATAAAGACCTCTGGTAAAGGTAAACATGCGTAAAAATTTTTAATGGTATTATTGTCATTATAGTTTATAACTCTACTTTTTATCTGTTATGGAATGTAAAAGAAAAAATGCATAAAAAGTTATCACCAATCTATGTTAACCGGTACACAAATATATAGTTAGTGACATCAATAATACAAAGGGGGTAAAGAGCTGTATAGAAACATTTTTTTTCTATGTGATTGAAGTTAATTTGGTACCAATTCAGAATACATTGTTATAACCTTAAAATGCTATCCATAATCTCCATGGCAACCACAAAGAAAATACCTATAAAATATTAATAAAAGAAATGAGGAGATCAAAACACTTTACTACAAAAAAATCAACTAAACACAAAAGAAGGCAGTAGCAAAGGAAACGAGATACAAAAGCTGTAAGACAATACCAAAAAATAACAAAATGGCAAAAGTTCTGCTCTACAAATAGTTACTGTAAATGTGAATCTATTAAACTACCATGGAGTAGGAAAGCACAAATTAGCAGAATGGATTAAAAAAAAAAGATCCAACTATATATTGTCAACAAGAGATCTGCTTTACTTCTCAAGACATATGAAGGTTGAAAGTAAAAGTTTGGAAAAGCTATTCCATGCAAACAATAACAAAAGAGAACTGCAGTGGCTAATTTAAAATAAGCCAAGAAAGGTTACAAGAGACAAATGATATTTCATATTGATACAAGGTTCAGTCCATCAAGAATACACAACAATTTAAAAATAAACACACCTAATCTAAAGAGCCTCAAATATATGAGCAAAAACTGACACAATTCAAAGGAGAAGTAAGTGGTTCTCTAATAAGAACTGGAGATCTCAATACCTCATTTGCAGTAGAGGACAGAACAACCAGAAAGAAAAGCAATAAGGAAAAAGGACTTTAACAACACTACAGAACATCTGGCCCTAACAGATAGATGCAGAACATTCCACCCAACAGAATAACAACATTTTTTTTTCTAAGGGAAACATGGAACTTTCTCCAAGACAGACCATATGATAGGTCACAAAACAAGTCTTTAAAATTTTAATAGAATTGAAACCATACACAGTATTTTTTTCCAATCACAATGGAATGAAACAAAAAACCAACAACAGAAGGCAAATTGGAAAATTCACAAACATGCAAAAATTTAACAAAACATTGAATTAATGGGTCAAAGTAGAAATCATAAAGGAAATTAGAAAATACCTTGAGATCAACAAAAAATGAAAGCACAACTTACAAAACTTACAGGATGCAGAGAAAGGAACACTAAGAGAGATTTATACCTATAAACACCTACATTAAAAAAAATCTCAAATCATAACCATATGCTTTAAGAAACCAGAAAAAACTCAACAAAACTAAAAGTTGGTTCTTTAAGACGACCAACAAAATTGACAAGTCTTTACCTAGACTGACTAAGAAAAAAGAGAAAACTCAAATTACTAAAATCAGAAAAATAGAAGTGGAGACACCTTTATATATTCACATATAGAACCTGAAATTAAATATAAGAATATTTTACAGAAACAAGATGATAAGATAATACTATGAATAGCTGAATGGACACACCGGATAACCTAGATGGACAAATTCCTAGAAATATAGACTACTAAAACTGAAACAAGAAACAGAAAATGTGAATAGACCTAAAACATAAAACCACCCAATAACAAAGAGCCCAGAATAGATGCCTTCACAGATGAATTCTACCAAATAGTCAAAGAATTAACAACAATTCTCAAACTCTTTCAAAATACTGAAAAGGAAGGAACACTTTGTATGAGGCCAGCCAAAGACACTAAAAGGAAATAAAACAACAGGAATTTCTCAACAGCAAAAAAAAAAAACTTCTGATTACATAAAAACTTGCACAAAAAGGTTTAGTGAAGCTTTTACAATGGCCAAAAAATGGAAGCAACCCAAATGTCTTTCAGTGGATAAACAGAAAACCTGTGCTACATGTATATAATGGAACGATACGCAGTAATAAAAATAAATGAAACTTTTAATATACAGGACAACTTTGCTGAGGCATTATGGTTAGTGAAAGAAGCCAGTCTCAAAAGGTTACATAGTGTATGACTGCACTTATACGACATTCTGGAAAAGGTAAAATTAATAATCAGTGGTTGTCAGGCCTTAGGGGTAGAGGTAGGATGTAACCACAAAAGGAAAGTAGGAGGGAGTTTTTGATGTGATCCTGTGTCCTAACTCTGGTATATCCAGTATCCTATTCCATTTACTGACTGTGGTGCTGGTTAAACAAATTTTCACAAGTGTTGTAACTCACAGAACAGTATGCCAAATAAAAAGTCAACTTCACTCTGATAATTTTAAAAATTAAAAAATACTTTAAAAAGGTGGTCATATTCATGGTAAATGGCAAAATGCAAGATGTGAACACAAAGGATGGGGCACCGAGCTTGCCTTCTACCTCCCGGATATCATCTTCCTCTAAGTCACCTCTTCTGAATCCTTTTGTTGTTGTTGTTGTGTTAAATCTATTTTGTCCTTTACTTTGACTACTTTTTAAACATGCAAGGGCCTCCCTTCACTTTCCCCAATTACATGTCGACAGTGAGGTAAGTATATTTAACTTGTTATATTTCTTCTGCCTTAAGAAAAGTAGTGTCTTTTCTTGATAAATGTTAAGTACAATAATATGCCTAAACAATTTCTTCAGTTAGTATAAATTATTATAAAACTGTGTGAAGGAAAAAATTTTTTTAAATTTAATTTTCAAAATAGGTTCTCAAATGCAAATCAAAACTACAATGAGGTATCACCTCAAACCAGTCAGTAACGGCCATCATTAAAAAGTCTACAAACAATAAATGCTGGAGAAAAGGTACATTCCCTACATTGCTGGTGGCAATGTACACTGGTGCAGCCACTATGGAAAACAGTAAAGATATTCCTTAAAAAACTAAAAGTAGAGTTGCCATATGATCCAGCAACCCCACTCCTGGACATATATCTGGGAAAAAAACTCTAATTTGAAAATATACATGCACCCCAATGTTCATAGCAGCACTATTTATGATAGCTAAGACATGGAAGCAACCTAAATGCCCATCGACAGATGAATGGATAAAGATATATCTACAGTGTAATACTACTCAGCCATAAAACAGAATTAAATAATACCATTTGCAGGAACATGGATGGACCTAGAGATTATCATATTAAGGAAGTAAATCAGACAGAGGAAGATAAATACTGTATGATATCACTTATATGTGGAATCTAAAAAATGATACAAATGAACTTATTTACAAAACAGAAACAGATTCACAGAATTAGAAAACAAACTTATGGTTTCCAAAAGGGAAAGTTGGGTTAGGGAGGAATAAATTAGGAGTTTGGAATTAGCAAATACAAACTACTACATATAAAATAGATAAACAAAAATGTCCTACTGTATAGCACAGGGAACTGTCTTCAATATCTTATAAACCACAATGCAAAAGAATATGAAAAAGAATATATACATATATATGTCTGAATCACTTTGTTGTACACCAGAAACTAACACATTATAAATCAACTGTACTTTCAATAAAAAATTAAAAATAAAATTAAAAAAGGTTCTCAAACATAATTTATTACTTATGTATTCTGAAAATTATTTTAGATATTTATCCCAAAAGTCATCATGTTTGGTCAGTTCCTAAAACCATATTTAACACTGAAAAGTGATTTACCAAAAAATATTGTGCTCTTCTATTAATTTAAGTCAAATTGATTCTAAAGATTTATTTGCTGAAATATCCGTATGAAAATCAAAGTGAACAAACTCCAAAAAGACTAGGAACTGACTTCACATCAGCAAAGCTACCCCAGTAGGTAAAGAATAAAGAAAGTCTTCACAATTAAGAAAGGCCTTTAAGAATTACGCTCATTCTTTTCTCTAATATACAGGACTTACTTTAATACAGTAATGCCAAAAGAATTATCATTGCCAGAAATTATACACAGGCCAAACAATGAGATTCTGATTAGTGTCACAAAAGATCAAAATATATATCAATTATAAACTTATAGGGGTTGATTTGAAATTAGAGTCTCCAAATATAGATCCCAGAATTTCACTGAGTAAATGACTTCTCCAACTAGTACCCACTCATGTATAAGTGAAATCATTTCAGCTTTAGAAAACTCAGCTGTTTTCTATCTATATGACCTCATTTATATAAAAAGAGCTTCGAAAATTTATTTTCAGATATACATTTAACTAGAAGGTTAAAAAGCAGGTAGGGGTGATAATATACTATCAATTTTAGTATGCTATTACAGAAAGAAGAACACAGATTAGATATTAAATAAACCTAATTTTAAAATGCATCTAAGCTAGAACCTAAGCTAACCCATCCAGCTACAAAATGTGTGTGTAAGGATATGTACATAGCAACAAATAATACCACAGAGAAAACTAAAGAACTACTTCAATAAATGAGACAGAAACCTTAAACCACACCTGGGCTTTCTTCTATAAAACTGAAATATGACTTCTTCCAAACCAAAACACATGTTTAAGATTTGTTTCTACTTTTGCAAATAGGTATTTATCCCAGTTCACTAAGTAGAAAGTAAATTCCTTCTGTGTACTAAAGTATTAAAAGCAAAAAGTAAGTCTATGAAAAGTATCTAAACAAACTGATTATAAAATATAATATGACCCCAATTCTTCTATCTACCCAACTTCTATCTACCAAACCACGTCTGATGACTCTTACACTTTGTAATTTCTGAAAGCACGCCAATGTGGGTGATATTTCCAACCCAGATGTTTTATTCTCCACCCCACACTATGAAATGCTGGTTCTGCTCAAACTACCTACAATTCAACAGAATCACAAATAGCCTGGATATTTGTGCTATTTAGCTAATAAATCATGCAAGGTACTTTGTGAACTGATACACATCCAGCAAGGAAACATCATTTATACTTGGTACATACGTTCTTTCCGGTGCTCAACTAAGCCCACAGCCTGCTTTGCTGAACACTTTGCAAACCAATTGTCTCCAAGTAAAACAGTGACTTCATTAGTATGGACAAGTTTTCCTGGCATGAAAGCAAAGGGGCCAAATGGTACCTATTGTTTTTCAAAAAAGAAAAAAAGGCAAAAAAAGTTAAAAACTACATTTTATGAAACAGCATTAAAAGCTCTGTGTTAAGGTCTTTTTATCTCTACATTAAGAAAAATAAAATGTCAACTTCACAGAATTTTAACATTATATCAAAACCTCACAAGGAAAATCTATTAAAATTGTTTTAGATTAATAAACAAATGTTTTAACCTAAAAATTATTTTAGGTTAAAACAGGAAAAGAAATGAGCATATTCACATACAGCTTTCAAAGAAATTAGTGCTGTCTCCAAATGCTTCTACTTTTTGCTCATTCATAAATCTAAATGAAACCAAACTAGGAATAAAACATTAAGTTAATAAAGAATAACTCTGATAAAAAACTGAAAATTATTTCTGATAAACTAGTCTTTTGTTGGCAAAAACAGAAATTAACAAATAAATAGCTTTAAGGTTTTATAAAATTTACAAAATATTTGAGCTAGCATAATAAAAAAATACATTTTCAAAATATTTGGGCTAATTTAATTAAGAACAAAGTCTTCACGAAAAAGAATATTCATGCCTGAAAGAATCTAATTCAGGGCTCACAAACAGATTACCATGTCGATATGAAAACCATTCAAACAAAAATTAGCAGCACCTTTTTATATAATATCAGTGTTCTGGGGTTTAATTCTATAAATTACACAACATAATGGTCTATTCCTGTTCTGGCTAACAGGAAATGACTACATGCCATATTTCTGTTGTAATTACAGTTTTCTAACACATTAAATTTGCATACCAAATATGTCAAATTTTGCGCTAACATTTATGCCGTTTATGTCATCATAATGAGATAATTAAATATAAATCTGAAAAAAGGAAAAGTAGGAAATGCCAACTATTATTACAGTTAGTGTATTATTATAAAGCAAAACAAAAACAAGCTTTCTTTACTGTGGTATGGTAGTTACCTCTGATAAGGTCCATCAGCAAGGCAACTTGTGAAATGATATATACATAAAGCAAGGAGACATCTTTTTACTTTACATAGTTAGTATCTTTACAAGAAACAACATATCACTTTAAAAGAAACACATCAAACATACCATGATATTATAAGACAACTTGTCAGGCAAAGTACTGAGTCTTTCTTGAAGAGCATTATAGTCATCATCTACCTTCTTCCTGTTGGCAAAAAAAATACCAAATGCTAAATTAATATACAAATTAACAATTCCTCAAATCAGCCATGGATCATAAGACAAGCTAATCAAAAACCTAACTTCAGCAATTTAAAGATTAAAATATTTTTTAATTTTAAAATTGTGTTTTTACAAAATTTAGCATTATCCCACCTTACATTTATCAAAGAATTAAGACTCTCAAGGACTTCAGTTTTTAGAAGTAGAACACTCACATCTTGAGAATTAGTGTTACCTAAGGTAGAAGATCGTCTGAACTAAATAAAATTTGGAAAATAAGAGAGATAGTGAGTTTGGAGGGAAATAGGAGCTCGAGAAGGAAGAAGAGAGTTACTAAAAGCTTTCGAGTGTATACATTGGTTGTGGAGTAGAAGTCATGAACATGAAATCTGATCAGATGTTTCAGTCCTCCTCAGAGAACTTTAGGCTAAAACATTTGGGGTCATCAATCCCTCAGTTACTCATACTAAGGTATTAAGGTGAGAGAGAATCAATCAGAGGCTAGAATTAGGTACAGGTAATGTAAAAAGCATTTCTACTGGACTTTGAAGTCTGTTCCATGTTATACCAAAACAGAGACTACCTAATACAGTAATTTCAAACAACCAAAAGATGTAATTCTGTGGGACCAGAGATGGTCATATGTCCCTATGCTGTAAACCCTACAGTGTTCTCACACCTGCTAGAACTGAACAGCCCTACAGCAAGATGTCTATTTACAAACCTCTGAAGATTGTTTCCTAAGGATTTCCTGCTAGTCTGCGGACTGCAAGCAAAACCAGAGCACTGAAATTTTTAGAGCAGAGGGATGTTGCCAATTTTTAAAAATAATGACAACAACCAAAAAAACCACCAAATCAGCAAGTAATTTAGAAGAACATGCAGGTATTGTCAAATTGAAATTAGGATGAATTGCAACATAGATAATCACTCTCTGGATAATAAAAATGGCTGCTCTATAAAATAAACATCACGGAACTGGTTTCAGTTTACTCCTTAGCTCGCCTAAAGCCACACTAACATAATTAATAAAAACTATCTCATTTAGTCTTAAGAATACTAAGCAATTTCACATATATATTGTTATTCATCCTAAAAATATTCCTGTAGTAAATGTCACTTATCAACATTTTCCTCTTATAAAAGAGAAAGTAGAAGGAAAAATGGAAAAACCACACATTTAAAAGAAATCAGATCTCCTTAATCAAGGAAAGGTTACGAGCACACACTTTAATCTAGGTCTTCTGACCTGTATTCTTTCAAGGAAGGCTTTCCATTTTCTAATGTTCAAGTGATTTTTTTTTTAAACTTTCCCTTCAAATTCTTTTTTTATAAACAAACATAAAATGTCTTTATTCTATTTGTTTAAGGTAAAAATCATCGTTCTGGACAAATTTTTATATGAATAAAATGATAGAAAAGTTCATGAATAGGGTATGTACCAGTAAGAACATGGCTTTGAAGTCAGAGGGTCGATCCCAGCTCCATCACTTAACATACACAAATTGACCCTAGTCTGAGTATCTTCAATGGTAAAATTGGCATAATGACTAACTGTCTACAGGTTCAAGAGAACTATATATAAAGAGTTTAACATTCTGCCTAGCACTAAACATCTACAATGAGGATCCAATGAGCCTTTCTCCATGAAGTATCAAAAAACACCAATTCAAAAATTTTTAAGAAAGACTATATTATCCACTAAGATAATTCAATTATGTTAAATTCATTCAATTTGTTATAAATAGCACAACTTACTTAAAGACAGTACAGCTAAACATAACAATTCAGGGAGCTCTTGGACACAACTGATGTGACCAATAAATGGGATACTGTCTATAAAGAGCTGATTTGGTACAACCCCTGCACACAGTAAACTCATTATTAAATCTATAAACACCAGCAGTTTACATGTTTTAAATGAGTAATTTTGCAAATGCTCAAGGGCTAGTCAGCTTGGATGTCTAAATGCTCCTACAACTGTTGAAGTTAGTATTAAGTTAGCATTCAATATGTATTATTTTGGTAAGTATACCTAGAAACGGGGGACTTCCTAACAAAACATCTCTTTTGTATATTAAAAGAACAGTAGATTCAATCAGAAGTAATACAAGAGATCAATGTCAGTATTTCAAATCAAGAATACTGTTTTAAACTTATCAATAATTCTGTCTAGAACAAAAATGTGAACACACTGGAGAACAGTTTAATGACTGAGTTGCTATTTCTAAATTTTGAATTTTTTCTAAAAATACAAAAAGAAAGAAGATAATTCAAAAAGCAGCTCATGCAGAAACCCTTTTTGAAGGGAGGCAAGCAGGAGTCCAGCCTCTGGGAGAAATTAAAGCTTGAGGAACTCTCTCTGAAATTCCCACTAGTGGAAATATCCAGGATCAAGTGCTTGGTCAAACAGTTTTCTCCAAATAGTCCCTCTAATATTTAGGGCTTATATAATTTCATTAAAGATCACAAAGTAGAAAATACAAAAATGATTCTAAGAACTAGTATGTTAAAGAAGGTATCTTCATTTGCCCCCAAAATTGGGAATTTTTTAATATAACTAATTTTTTGGACACTGTAAAGTATGTAGTCAAAGAAGCAACTGCTGTAAATAATTTTTTTAAACAGAAAATAAAACCCGGATACAGTTAGGATAAACCTCTCAAGCCTGCTTATTTATAATACATAGACCTCCTTGTTTGGTTTCACCACATCCGATCCTTAAAAATTAGGTTCAGCCTTCAATTCTTAATTTAAAAGAATAATCCAATAAATAAGACTTAATTTGTATCAGATATCCTCATGTAATGTTCCTTACAGAAAATAAGAACTAAAGCACTGTTATAAGGCATATAAGAAACTTTTATCATCTTCTTCTGAATCTTGCTAATCATGAGCTATAATGTAATAATGTGCTGCTAAGAAGAACCTACTGTTTTTATTAAAAAGTAGCAGCAAACTAGCTTTAAACTTAAGAATGAAGATCAGGACAAATCTCATGAGAAACACCTTATTTCCATAAAGCTGTAAAAAGTATGAGATAGAGCAAATTAAATAATGTGTATGGTCAAGTATTTATAGGTAAAGTATATAGATGTCCACAATTTACTTTGAAATGCATCAGAAAAAAAAATGGATTAATGGATGGAGGTATGGATAGATATGTGATCAAGGTTCACCTATATAATTCTTTCACTTTTTCTGTATGTTTCAAGATTTTCATAATAGAATATTAAAAAGGAGATAGGGGAAATATGAGAAGGACTCCTTATTTTTAATCCTCTTCTTAAAAGCAACTGATAACATCTTTGTAAAGAAAAAGTTCCATATCCCTGGTTTGAGACAAGTGATAAAGACTCCAATTTCTAGCTGAAAATAATAAAAAAGGAAAATAAAACTTAAATCACAGATGGAAATAAAATTTTGCTAATTTTCACTTTAGAGTATGAAGTTGGAATAGGCAGGAAATACTGACATTAAGCCCCCCTTTAAGTATCTTTTCTCATTCTCTACCTAAAATGCTAAACAAAAAAGCAGAAAATACCAAGAGACGCTTAAAAAGGAAACAAGGGGAAAGGCTTTAAGTGTTAATATCTGGGTTGACATGGGGCAGAGTTAATTGTGTTTACAGTTTTTAATTGAAGAAATTATGAAATCGAAAGATTTTGAAATATATATGAGTAAATACACAATCTTCTTTAGAAATGATTTCTAGTCCACTATACCCACTCTAGAACATCCTATTAAGCATCGAAGAAACCTTTGCTTCGATTGTTTGTGTGTGTGTGTGTGTGTGTGTGTATGTAATGCTTCTTTGCTAAAGATCCAATGGCTTGATGGATGCCTGAGGTTCTACCACTAAAATTAAGAAAATAGAGGAATACTGAATTCAGGTATGGATTATATAAGTAAAGAGAGACATCTTCTCTTTACTAAAGAAAGGAATGACAGTAATTTTTTTAAATATCCTCATAAACAGCATAAACATATTACCAAGGTTATCTTAAGCAACAGAAATATTCTTGAAAGAAGCCTCTACAATGCTACACCTTCTGCAATTTGGTGGGAAGGGGAGCACATTTAATTAAAATGTATCTGTATTAAATCAATAGCATTTTTTTTAATGGTCATGGCAAAGTAATATTAAGATAAATGAACACTACTACAAAATTCAGGCAATATGGTGGCATATTCCTTTTTCTCAAGTCTACTATACCTAGGAAAATTATATCAGCAAAAGATGCTGGTGAAATAAGCTATGTTCTTTATATTTTATGAGTCTATAAGAAAATATTATTATTAGAAATAGATATAAAGATGAACATAAATATAAAAACGTGTAAGTTTCTAAAAGTTAATGAAACAAAATCATCCAAAGACAGACAGACACAGCTAACATTCTACTAGATTTCAATTTAACTTTTCAACATAAAAGCTGGGACAGAGGAATTCAGTCTAGTGCCCTGTACCAACAAACATGCATATACGACTTAAGACTTGTCAGCTGTCACAGGTACCTGTTTCTTCATTAGCATTCTTTTGCTCTAAGAATAAGATGTGAATCCAATGTAAGAAAGTTGAAAAGTTATATAAAAGCACACTACCCTAAGTGTGAAAGAAATGTTCCCAAAGTTCCTAGGCCATTTAGCTTTAGGTAGTGAGACTACAGGTAATTTTTATTTTCTTTATTTTCCAAATTTTCTACAACTGATACATATTTCTGTAACAAATCAGGAAGGAGGGACTTCTAAGAAAAGATGAGTTTAGATGTGCTAAGTTTATAACTGATTTAAGCTTTGATGTTTGTGCCAGTTTCTACTTAAATCTAACCATAATTAATAAGTCATCATTTTGATTTCTTGTTTTCTACTTTATTTCTAAAACATATTTTAGAAAAAAAGGAAACTTTTTGTGTGTTGTTTTCTTAGAGTAGTGATTCATAACCCTTAATGGTTACTGACACCTATCAGAAACTGATAAAAA